TATTTCCTTTAAATAAGTGGGACCTTTGATAAAACTATCAAAGGTGCGATCGAGGGAGGTGGTAAGTGTTGTGTGTCCTAACTGGTTCTAGTCATTATATGCAAGCTATGCGCGTTTGCAGACAACTGTAGACAGGAGTCGTGTTTAAGATATTCGTACCTCCACCGTTGAAGACTTCGGTCTTAACTAAGATTGTGATCTTAAATCCAAGCTGTCTTACAATCGGACTGATTTTGGTTTGTGCAAGTGGAAGTTTGTTTTTCAAGTTGACGTATTCAGAGCAGCTTTTGCCAAGGCACCGGCTTTACAGTTGCCACTGATGCCTTCGTGATTGGGCAGCCAATAGCCATAGCATGAGTTTCTCTCGTAAAATTCAAATGGAAAACTGATAGTCACAGTTGCTGGTGATACCTACTCACTACCTTTGATCCATCTTTGTAGATACTGAAATGAGAGGGATAAAGGTTCTTCAGTTCGTACAACTCTTGTTGATAAAATAATTGATAAGTTACTTCTTTAGTTTTGCCAATTCTAAATTAACATCTGGTTGTACTGATTATCATGGAGGCCATGGAGGCCATGGAGGCATTGCTGTTGTTTTGTATTCTGCAATAGCAAAATGATTAAATTTCATCTTTGATGTGAGATTGTATGCAAATGCCAAGTGGTGGAACTGAATTTTGTTTCTGTCATACAATATTGATATGGAGGAGCAAATACATTGTTAAATATTGGATTAGATCGGTTGGAAGTTTAGTGATGTATACGAATGGCAGTTTGATTCGTTTCCAATTAAGACAAGGCTCATTTGTCGCCATATACAAACTGTCAATAGTCCTAAATGCTCCAAACCACAACTGAAGTCCCTTATGGTGAATAGTGTCAAGTTATCTGATATATTATTTACGAATCAAATGAATCAACCATTATCGTGTTTTGACCTTTTCAAAGTTCTATTGAGATGCAGAAGTCTCCACCCCCCTTGCCATATGATACCACCTTTAAAATACTAAGCGCTTTCAAGCATCTAGCTTCAAGATTTTTAATATTAGGTATAAAGGATAACTTATGATCAAGGATAATACCCCAAAACTTGGTTTCCCTGACCACTTTAATTGGAATAATATTCAAATAACTGATCTTTATGTATTTTCTAAGTGTTGCAAAAGTGAGCATAATAGGGTTTTGTTTGGGAAAACTTCAAATCGTTTTCAAGAGACAATTTATGTATTTTATATAGACAAAATTGTAACTGTCTCTCAATGGTGCGCATGGTTGCACCACAGCATGATATATTAAAATCATAAATAAATAATGAAACATTTTAAACTTTTAACAGGGCGGTCGATTTTAATGTTTACATTGTCACTGATAAAATACTGCCTTAAGGGACTCTTTTTTCTGATCATGTAAATTATTACTGACCTTGGCATATGATGCAAAGCTCCAAAATATCCAAAGAGAATTTCCTTCTGAATTCAGAATATAGAAATAGGTTTATCTGAGTCGTAAGTTTCTGTAAATTATTGGCTTTGCCAAATCTTTTAGAAACCATTGATATACCCCGCGTAACAGCTTCTCAATAAACAGAAACATGTCATAATCCATTAGTAACAACAGATGGATTCCAGTGGTTCTGGCTGCAGTCAATATCCGTCAACTTGAGGCGGTTGTGGTGGTGGAATAGGCTGGGGCATATATGGCGCTTGTGGTCTAGGAGGCGAGTGCTGACTGTAAGAAGGCTGTTGCTGAGGCATAACAGATGGCATCTTGGACTGGAACGAGCCTGTTGGATGTGATGGTCCATTCCTTTTCCCATAATGTTTTCTGTTCCTCTTTCAAGAAGTCTGAGGAATACCTTGAGAGTCTAGTGATGAGTCTGTTGAAGAAATATTTGAGCTGAATGTTGATGTTGCTCCTTAAGGTCAGCTAGCTCTGTCTTGATATCCCACATCATGGCTTTAAAATCCATCACTTAGTTGAAACAGCAGTAGAAGAGTCAGAGGTAGAGGACATATTTATGGTAGCTGTCTTCTTTCCTGTGCTGTGACTTTGATCCCGCTTCATGTCGACTCAACTTCCCTCAAACATAGTCGGAGCTCATCAAAGTTGAAGATGTTATCATACGTATGGGCAGCAAGGCTCTTCAGTTCAGGCTTAAGGCCATCCTACATCTTGCTTCGGAGCATTTCAGGCTGTTCCTCCCAGTTCACCTGACGTTAAGAGGCTATCTGGTACATAAGGTTCTCCATCCAGCCGGCAACCCCATGCTGTAACATCTTCCTTGTCTCCTTGGAAAGTACCATAAAACTGACATCAGGGTCTCCTTCCTTCTCAAAGTTCCAAAAGCAGAATGGATCTTGAACAAGAGGTCCTCCACTGTGGCAGTGTGTCCAAGCTTCATGGCAACCAGTGCGGCTTCTCCCTTCAAAGATTTTCTGATAACCGGGAGTATAACATCTAGAGAATGAGTCTTTGAACAACAAGGCATATGGAGTGTCCTTTCCAGTCTTTCCGCTAAAGAATGGTATCTTGGGAAAGTGTTGAAATGTTATGCCAGATGTTGAAGGTGGAGCAGCAAGTCAAGGATTAGTGGCTGAGGAGGCGCCTTTGACACCAGGCTCTGTCTTTACAATAGGTCATTCCTGTTGTGCCATCCCTTGAATCCATGCTTTAAAGTCATATGGTCATCTTTGGAGACAGTCTCATCTTTGTAAATATAGTCAGCAAACTTTCCATCTCCTCTTCTTCGAGATTCATGATGAAAGAGTATGATGCAGTCAATAGGAAGGATTACAAAAATCCAAATGAAGATCGCAAAAGCATGTGAAGAAGATGTGCAACGACTATAAAAAAAAACACAGAAATTGTGATAATGGCTTGCAACAATATTTCCTAGAAAAAAGAAGAAGAAGAAGAACCTCAGTAAATAAAAGTAGATACTAATATGCTTCATAATGAAGTTAAGTACCTAAGATAACTAATACTAGGTGTGAACATAAGACCCACAAGACAACACTAAGGAATAGATCAAGGCATGCTGTAATGTAAATGTGAAAAAAGGTGCAGATGGGGAAAAGTTTTCAACTAGGTCATGCTGTGGTAAGGCAGTCAGAAAAAACAACAAAAACTAATTCTTACCCAATTATTATTATTATAATTTAATACCTATCCAAGTTTATTTGCATAAGTGTAGAAAGGTGAAAGAAGCAAATAGAATTTATAATAAAATATGATAGTTTCAATACAGTAACTAAACAGCTAATCAAAACGTCTAACTAAATACTAACTAAACCAATTAAGTAAACCAAGTCTACGTAAGGTAGGCAAATATATCAAACTTTATTGAAACTAACAAAACAGTTAATCCAAAAGTCACTGAACTAAACTAAACTAAACTAAACTAAACTAAACTAAACTAAACTAAACTAAACTAAACTAAACATGCCGTAAGCAAATATACACAATACCAAAGTATACAAATTTCGTGATCACCGAAAAATGTTTTAACAAGTTGTGAAATGCTACATAACAAGGTTTACTGGCCAGATAAATATCTATAATTACAAATGTAGAGAAAGGTTGAATGTAATTACAATTACGAAACCTTACACAGATGCAGATAATTGTAATACAGTAATGAAAAACTTAAGCCGGCAAAGACAAATAGATACTATGAAGTAACATATATTACATGATTGATTGCAAAGGGAAGTAATTTACAAAATATCAGATGTTAGAAATCTGATATGTGTACGGGAATAACGTACAAGTTACATTTACTATATAGGAAACAAAATACACAACGTCATATCCACAAATGTCAATACAAAGAAGTCAGTCACATATACCGTGAAAGTATATGGAAACACATGGCTTGGCAGATTACAGCACATGTGCATGTACACAGGGGAGCGGAAGGGGAGCGGTCTACCCCACGAAGATTCTGGCTGACATTTCTAAAGCAAAAGACCTCACTGGGGACTCCATTTTGTGATGGCAAAATGCAAGGTCCAACACAGGCTACGGGCGTGATTCTTTATTGCCTTAATAGATAATGACACCATGTAATGTACAAGACAATAAAATTATGGAAACAGTAGTGTACAGGTTTCAAACCCATATTAATACAATACAAAGCGACCGTTCATAATGTACATGAAGCTGAACTTGATAATCATATGATATTTAAAATCATTATCTTAATTCTAAAGTAAACAAACAATTCATCAAGGGCGATAACTCGATCCCGCCATTACTTATAAGATACAATATATATATATATATAAATATATATATATATATATATATATATATATATATATATATATATATATGGTCCATGGTTCTAAAATACAATGAACATTACTAATACAATTACCACTTTGTTGAAACTACTATATTAATTCAATAACTGATCATCATACATGTGGCATGATACAATATTTACAATATATATTTTGAGACATGACAAATGTAAATTATCCGTACCCGGTGGGTGACATAGCATTGAACAGTTATTTTAGTCAATACTAGAGGTTTTCAAGTATGGGATTCATAGGGTCAAGTTCTGGATAACCATGTATTTTCGCAGTTCAGTCAACATCAAACTAATTTGTAAAACATGAACACATTCCTTAAGCCATACATATTTTTATGTTTCTACTGTGAAAGCATGTTTATTCAAGTACAAAGCCTTAACAATACAACATTTTTTTATGACAAGACATAGATTCTAGTAAGTTTTTCCCTCTTTGTCTGTGAAATTTGACGGATATTTTATGTTGTCTTAATATCATCCTTGTATGATATTTCTGTATATGCATGCACTTCTGGATTTTTCATGAAATGCTTCTCACCAGGAAAGAGCTTGAATACTGCTGATATGTTTCAAACCAATGTGAACTCATTCATTCGTTTTGTTCATAGCATGAAGGCGGAAAGTTTTTAAGTCTTTCTCAAGTTTGATCATTTTCTCATAGTTGACGAGTAAACTTTCTGTGGATAGAGATGGGATAAATTTCTAAAATGTCTAATCAAGTTTAATCACTCAACTTTTGCCATATTTTAGATGTTTGTAACACTAGCAATGTACCATATTTTGCAGCTCAGTCCTCAGACCTTCCTAGGGATGAAATGGAGGAAATGGAATCCATTTGGAGAGAACACATTTTTCGTGAGTAGCAGTAACTTTGCACTATTGCACGATAAATTGTATCAGTATCTTCATTGGTCTATGATATACACTTAACAAAAAGTAAGGGACCATAAAATATAAATGTTAATACCAAGTATTAGAACAAGGACATGTGTTTGGCGACAAACATCCTATGCAATAACGTTTATGTCTGTAATTCCTTGCTCCAAAATACAACCTATCGTTTGCACCCGCCACACACAGTAGTGTCACACACATGCACAGGGTGTCATTCCTGATTTAGATACTTCCAGGAAGGTAGCTAAGTCAATCTTTGTTGACCATCATTTCTGTCAATCTTATTGATTCAGCATAACATACAGTTGTGATTTTCATGATTTCATTCATTGTTTGTGTTTGAACTAGCGAAGGAGCGTCTGCAATGCAAGGATCTTCTACGGGTTATTAGCATTCTGGAAACAGTCAGTGTGCAGTGGCAAATACGTTCAATGTTTCACAGTCTCTTAGGGCGTTCCAGGTCAACAAAAGTAGAACATGGTCAAAATGTTATTGCTGCAAACTTTCATCCGACTACATCGAAACTGGGGTAATCGTGGAGGGTGAAAGGTCATGTTCTTAGATGAGTCTGATTCATTGTGCACCTCCTTGATAGGCGGTTGTGGGGCAATCTGACGTTAAATCTCTGGTGCGTTCCTTGTGTTGTCGAAGGGTCACTGGACAGTTCTGAAGGGCCGTTTGCAAGGCGTGTAGGTTGCCTTTCAGGACAACATTGCCCATGCTAACAATACAGTAAATCGTCAATGTTGAACTCCAGTAGTAGCACAACAACCATAGGCTGCCAAGTCCTGCAATGACCCTAAGATCTTTCCCCATTAAACACGTCTGGGACCTGATGGGGAGGCGTGTGCGTCAACGTCATACACCGCCTACCACGGAGGCTGCAAGAGTGGAACAGCCCAAATTGCAATTCGAAAACTCACACACAGTAAACTTCATCGAGTGAATGAACTTTTGACAGATTGTGGCGGCATTACGCACTACTGATCCAAAAAATGTCAAATTTTCCCATCTTATCCCTATTGTCCGTTGGCGGTCTAAACATCTGCTGTCCTGTGCCACCGCCAGTTGTAATGTGTTCGCAATTCGTTCATTATTGTCATAGAACTATTACTAGAAATTAATATCTCTTGCAATTTGGAAAGCTATTGTCGGATCTTGATATCATCATTTATCATTTAACTAAAGCATTTATCAATGACATAAGCTTATGTCATGAAACGTGTGTGTTATACCCAAATGACATAAGTATGCAAATAAGACATACAAATTAAAAATCCCGGAAGTGGGAACAGGTGTTTTAAAACAACATGGAAACCTTTGATGTTGGAGACAATGTTTTAATAGATCAAAGAGGGAGTGATACAGCGATATCAGTGTTTTCAAATGTATATTACAGGTTACTGGTTGATGGTAACGAATTTGAATTTGACTGTGATGAAGGTAGGTTATCTAGAATCCCCTGTGACCAACGTTTCGGCATCGTAACACCATCGTCGAGCATGGTGAAGCAAACGACGAGCACAAAGCCTAAAGATACCTGAGGTAGATTTGTGGCGCTTGAGGACGGCATGATCGATGGCTAAAATGAAATTCGCCAAATGCATAAAATACCCCCAAACGAATTAGACACTCCTTTATCAAAGTTTGTCATTAGCGTTCGAAAAACAAATGGGGAAAGTTATGAATGAAACAGTCTCACAGGGTTTCAGAGCAGCATCGATAGATCACTAAAACGAATAGGGTATGGCTATTCCTTCACGTCATCCTTACAATTTTCACGTTCACGGGAGATATTAAGGGGGAGGATAATTGAAAGTAGGGCGTGGCAACTCCCCCAGAAGAGCCGACCCGATTGGTGATGAATAGATCGAGTCCCTCTGGCAGTCCGGATCCATTTGAATCTATAAGCCAATGCACTTTATAAACTGTCTATGGCTATACAACACAATCCATTTCATGCTAAGAGGTGTCAATGATCAATACAACATGTGTTCTGAGGACTTTGCATGTTAATGGAGATGATCAAGGATATCTCGAACTGTCCATGTGACAAGAAGGGATAGAACTTACTATGGAATAACATGTAAGCCATGTCTGCAAGTCCTGCTTCTTTCATCTCCGCAACATGGGAAAGCGTTCGACATCTACTCACAAAAGAATCTGCACACACTTTTGCTGGATCTTTGGTCATATCTCGGCTTAACTATTGCAACATGAGTAACATCACAAATGACCAACTCCACAGGCTCCAACGCGTACAAAATCCAAACGGCACGTATCTTCACGAAGACATCAAAATGAACTGAAGTAACACTCCGCTCGACATCTGTTGAGATGACGATCCCTTTTACATTGGCGTACACACTTTAGGCATGCTTAAACCTGGCAATCAGTGGTTTATCTGCTATCGCATTGGGAAAAACAAACTTTCCTCTCGATGTGCGATGCCTCCTGTCTCCAACACATTGAAACGGCTCACTAATCACACTGCGGGTAAACACCTTGTGCAAAAATTGAATGACAATAATGTTCCGACAAATCAAATAATGCAGATAACTGGTCAATAGTGACACCGACTCAAGCATCCTCTGACCTTCTTCAAGTGAGAGCGCAGTTTGATTCGAAAGTTTAATATCAGTGACATTATACCAGATATATAATCAAATCACACAAAATCGTTGTTGTCATTATTAAAGTGTTAATTATTCTGCAGTCCTCCGTTCAAGTATCATGTTTAAAAGAATGCGAGAGACATTTTTTCAGCGAAAGATTATGTCATAAAGGAGTTAACAGGTTGTTTATTTTGATTCTTAGTAACGTCACACGGCAATGAAAAACATTTATCACTACGCACTATTTCTGATGTTTATTTCAGTAATGTGAAAATGATACATAGAATTCATCACTCGTGTGTTTTAATACGGGAAGTACTCGGGATGAATCCTCTATTTATGTGCTGGTTTCTTTATCAACTGGTTCTCGACGCGAATACCTGATATGGCATAAAGCAATATTTATTCATTGATTCATTGGTAAAAGAATGAAATCTTCTGTCTCTTTCCCCCCTTCTGTCTTCTTCTCTTTGCCCTGACATGGCCTTGGTCAAACTAAGGAAATCAGAACAAAATCGAATACAGGGTCAGCATAAACTATACTAACTAAATCTGACACCACTCAACTAATTTATCTGCAAGAATATAATCAATTAAGTTACCAGCGCATTCAATGTAGTTTGAAAAAAATCCAGAAGTAACAGCAATCATTTATATTGGAAATGTTATTGGACAGCATGCAGTATCAATCTTATTTCACTTCGAAAAAAGTATTTTAATGCCTTAAACGATTGGACTTAATATCTATAGTATATTCATGTGTTTTGGTCTCATGTTTGGTGTCATAATGTCATTCGTGAGGAGTGCTTTACTTTAATGCAGGCATGAATTTACAAACAAACGTATTTCTCGAAATTTATGAAAGAATCGCTGTCTATAATTCAATCGTTCCCAACATCTTCAAGTTGATAAGTGACCTTAGTCAATTTCAATATAATGTCACCAGTAGTACCGGGTGTTATATTTAACGGTCGTGTTCATTTGCGTGATCTAAGAAATGGATCCAAATATGTTTATTCAGAAGGGGAACGCCACAAAAAGCAGCGAAGCCTCAAGATACACCTTGGATGCTTTGTTCAGTAAGTAGTAAGGGCTTCTATTCAAATGTAGATTAACTGACCACCAGAATGGTCATTTGTAGCTCCTTGATATTAAATAATAACAGCGTATTACCTTTATGTGTGTATCATACTAATTTTACGAAACTCGTGTCTGAATCAAGGCAGTGTTGACACTCATAATCTCTATTTGCAACAAGTATATACATGTAAACAGTTTGTGAAAGGTACTCAACAGAACGACACTTATATTTATTATGGACATACATCTACATCATCTTCTATGAACTTCATGTCTTTTAACTGGTCCACTGAGCTTTGCCTCACTTTCAAGAAGCACCAAGTCGATCATATAAGTTGCCATGCAACATGCAGAGGCTAGTCAAGTGTTCACATGAACAAACACAGAATTACATGGCACCACTCAAATTAGGGAATTGAATCGGACATAATTGTTGTCACTGATGCGTCAAATATGGAAATGACCTCCACGTATCTACCATAGGACATTTTTTATGCTAAAAACATACATGTAACAAATGTTATATTTGACATAACATTTCTTAGTAGAGTACATCAGGGATTCGAACCCACACTGACAGAGTGAGGCACCTTATCGCCAGCACACAAAGTAAGCCAATTTACACTTGTCAGAGGGGTACACGCAGAACGTGATCTAGACTACCAAGTGTCGGACTTTCATTTTGTGGAAGCCTAGATAGCTGAGTTGGTCAGATCGCTGACTTTGTGTGGGGATTAGGTGCCACACTCTGGCTGTGTGGGTTCGAATCCCGGATGAGACTCAACTAAAAAAGGTACGAGGATCTGTACAGTTGACCACTTTCTAAATGGCATTGTGTGTTCATAGCTTTCGGCTAAGGGAGTTGTGCCAATTTACACTTGTCAGAGGGGTACACAAAATAGTCATCTACGTGATCTAATTACCAGTTTTCGGACTTTCATTTTGTGGAAGCCTCGGTGGCTGAGTGGGTTAGAACGTAACTTTGTGGGCTGATGATAAGGAATCCCAGATGAATTTCACTTTTTAGAACGAGAATCTGTACTTTACTAAGAAAGTGTCATCCCAAACATAACATGTGTTACGGTTGACCACTTTTTTTAAAGCATTGTGTGTTTGTAAACAATATACAGTTATAAAAGTGTATAGCTTTTTCAGTTTTAACTTTAGTCGTTCAGACAAATAAGAGTTACAGCTCACTGGTTCCGGGAACAGTGTTCCTCTAAGCAACGAACCACGTTGACCCTTACTTCGCCAAGACAGGTGGTGGTATCAGTCGGCTTGCCACGCCCTGTATCGGGACAATATTCATAAGAACAATAATTTTTGGATGTCAACCTCTTTATTATGTTGAACACAACGTTTCGGAGTATGTAGTTACTTATTCACTTTTGCCCGTTCTTCGGTCCCACATTCAATTAATGATGATGATATCAACATTGTATGTCCTCAATCCAATCAAGTATTAATAATGTCCAAACATGCTTGAAAGACCCGTACATGCTCCGTGGTTTGTCAGCGTACCAACCATGAGAGTACAGATTGAATGCAGCAACTGTGATGGCCAATACAAAATGGCCTCTTCAAAATCATGCCCTGATTGACAAACTGAAACCCAAATTATACTCGCTCGCAGCCGATTCCTAAACAACCAATCATTTCAGAATAAAAGTTAACCAAAAAAGAAAGAAGAATGTTCAACAGAAATCTAATACCCAGTACCTCACTTCTTGGGGGTATCAATTCAAAATTGTAAACCCTCGGCAACATGTTTACAGGAAACATACCATTCAAATATTGACAAATTTAAATGTCATACGTCTTCAATTTCTTTTCACCTCCTGATGCTAATGACAGTGGAGGTTCTTCACTCTTTAGCCCCAATCATCTTACTAACCCTCTTCAAGCTGTTGCATTCTGTGTTTTTTTTATCTTCAGGCGCTCTATAATCAACTCCCCAAAGCCTGTATAAATATTGGTGATTTAATTTGGCATAATTGACTTTGGAGTAGTCTACACTTTTAGCTTTTAGAAAATTCATTTCTAACAATAACCCATGTATATATGATGGTGGTTCAAAACATATGGACATCCCCGTACTGGTACAGATGACAGTTTCAGATTTACTATTGAATGCGATTGGTCCATCCACGAAGACCTCTGTGGATTGAGCACTTTCCTATCTTTTTTAAAAACCTGTGACACCTTCAGATAGAACTTTACTGAGGCTAAAAGGCTTTGCAGAAAATACTTTGCAAAATATTTTAACAACTTGATCTGTTTTTTTATATTAGTGACCATAAACAATTCCACTGAGTCAAACTAGAGTTGGTGAGTGAATGAATTAGTTTGGTTTTTCGTCGGTTTTACAATATTCCACAAATATTACGGTGGAAACATCAGAAATGGCCCTTACACATTGTACTCTTGGGGATTCGAACCCGGGTCTTCGGCGTGACGAACGAACGCTTTAACCACCCGAGCCAAACTAGAAACTTTACAATCTTAAATTTTAATCAAAGCTAAACAAGCTTAGGTAGAAGGTAGTTTCCATTAATAAATACGGTAATAACAATCGTAAAATCAATTCTGCGTTTAGCAGATATATCTTATGAATATGGAAAGGGTTTGTCACATGTATTAACATATCTTGTCATGCTAAAAATATGCATACATTAGAGAGGCAGTTATAACTGTGTCAAAAGTTAAAAGTAGAGAATATTTCCAAACAATGTCCAATGCAAATCCCTATTTTGACTTGTACCATATGTTGCCTTGATTTTTCATGTGAACACTTGACTTGTCTTTGCATGTGTTTGCCATGGTGCCACCGATGGGGCAGGACACCCTCCCCCTTTCGCGAATAGTGAAACATGCATTTATGATATGTTTGAAATCGTATGCTGGACTCCGCTTTTAGTAGAGGTTTCTTAAGGTTATTCAAATGTTTTTCGTCTTTATTTACAAACCTTAATGTGTTATTAGATAGATGTACATGTCATTGATAAATTTGTAACATGTATCAATAGCATTATTAACGTGGGTCCGCAACCTGAAAGTGTGTGTCCTTCAACAGAACATAGCCATTGCAGTTGTAAAGTCATGTCCAGGTAATAAAGGACGCATGTGACTCATAATAGATAATATAAACTAACTACCTGTCAACATGATATCCCCAATGAATTTCCGCCAATGAGTCATACATCAGAAATCAAGTTCAAAGGTAAGTGAACGTGTAACCTGCAAAGCGAACATTCTTGTTGGTTTCCGAACATCACAATAGTGTTAACACGTTAACACGTAATATTACGTTAACACAACAATTTGGATAAAGTGAATCATTGTCATCATGTGTCGTTCCTTTTTTTGTCATTGTTTCCATACATGCACGTTCTAGTCAAACAACGCTTTTTGAATGTCTGTAAATAAGCCTTATGACCAATTGCTACCAATTTGCAGATGCACTAACTTCGGGTAAGACGCTGGCGGACTACCTTGAGGAAGAAAGTGTGCAGTTTATGCGGGAGGTTCTGGAAGACCACAATAAAAACGTTGATAACAGACTGGTAGAAATTATTCCAATTCTTAAGAAATACATGGATCAAACAATGGGGAGCCCAAAGAAACCACAAAAAGGTATTGTGTGTACAAATTATTAGAGTATATAATATGTAATATACTGCTCAAAGTTTGCCAAGGATCACCACTTTAAAAGGAAATACATCAGATTGTGCGCATTTGTTGAAATAGCCAAAGACAACATTTCGTTTAAAAGACAAAAAGTCTGTTGTAATTGCATTGCCGAGTTCCTGTAGAGTTGCCGGAAGAACAGGGCATCGTGAGGGGGCAATCTGCAGCTTGTTCCGCATATGTACGACCACTCCATGAGGACAATAGTCTCCTGCTCTAAGAAGGCTTCAACGACCCTGACATGATGAGGTCGTCCAGGAGGATGAAGTCTGGTCCGATTGCACGTACAGAATGTCATCCCTTTAGTGCACACCAGTCATCATGCCCAGCTGTTGGACATGTATATCAGTTCTTCCATCTTCACTAATCCTACCAGAAAATCGTGATTGGGCCCCCTCCACAGCAGTAATGTTCGGCTCCTTGTCTATGCCATCCCCGAAGTCGAGACAGTATCTCAATTTCATCAGTGCAAAGTTTTGGACATTTCAGTTTTTATTTGTTGGAAGATATTTTATCCTTAGCAAACCTTGAGTAGTATTTGATATGAAAATAGATGTCCTATTTTCATAGAAAAGTTGTGACATTACAATTTCTTGACATAAGATTTTGCTGTATGATGCCACATGACCAGGTCACCATATTAGACTATGAAGTGTCAGTTAACGTTACGTGACAATAAGCGTAAGTAAACGAATTACTAAGGAAAATCAGTTCTGATACGAGCCAACGATAGCAGGGTCCTAGGCATGCACATAGTAGCATGCAGTGCATTATAACCACTGGACAACCATGGCTAATGTAAATCTAACGATGTTGGAATTCATTATCACATTCTGGATCTTCAAAAACAAACAAACACAGACATTCTGATTCAGTGTCTTCAGAAAATCCTGCTTCTTTACCCGTTATATCATTACTTTAAAGTTGTTGGTGGAATTTGCATGGTGGCAACAGTCTGTCAATTTGCAAGGTTTTACTAACTTATTGTTTCAATTTTGAAGTCGACGCGTAACAATTATCGCCGTCATATTTTCACTGAAAGATCCAGGGATGGTTGCAATGTGTCTGGTGATCTAAACAAATTCTTCCTAAATAGCAAAACATTAGCAGTGTACTCACAGCTGAGAACAAGGCAATACCTAACAGTCTTACAGAGTACATTGAACAGCATTCCACATGTAAACAATGTATCATATTTTCCGATTCAGTCTTGTCTTCAGGCAACTAAAAGCTTGTAGTGCCCCCCTTTCACTGTAACTCAACGATGATCGTGTCACTTTCTAATACGACGTTTTCTAGCATTGCATACCGCAACTGGTGGCTGGAGTAGTGATGTAAATCCTTCTTTTGTTGGTAGTGTTTTATATTTAAAATAGTAAAATCTAGAGAAGCTGATTTCAAATGTATTTAAGCTTTAAATTATTTTGTTCTATATTCAGTATGTGTTTTTTTATCAAACTGATTTTACTCAAGCTCAAGCTCTAATCCAGATCCTGCTCCTTCTGCAGGTCATGAACATACTCCAACGCATGCTTCTGCTACAGATCCTGCTCTTTCTCAAGATCATGGTCATACTAAAACAACTGCTCCTGCTACAGATCCTGCTCCTTCTCCAGATCATGATCATACTTCAACTCCTCCCCATGCTACATATCCTGCACCTTATCCGGGTAATGATCATTCTTCAACCCCTGCTCCTTCTCCAGGTAATGATCATACCTCAACCCTTATCCAGATCATATTCAACTTCAACTCCTCCCCTGCTACAGATCCTGCTCCTTCTCCAGATCATGATCATATTTCAACCCCTGCCCCTGCTACATATCCTGCTCCTTATCAAGATCCTAATCACATCCTAACCCCGTTCCTCCTACAGATCCTCCTCGAGATCATGATCAAATTCCAACATCTGCCCCTACTACAGATCCTGCTTCTTCTCCAGGTAATGATCATATTTCAACCCCTGTTCCTTCTCCAGATCATAATTATACCCTAACCTCTGCTCCTCCTGTAGATTCTGCTCTTTCTCTAGGTAATGATCATACTCCAACTACTGCCCCTACAACAGATCCTAGTCCTTCTCCAGGTAAAAATCATACTTAAACCCCTGCTCCTTCTCCAGGTAATGATCATACTCCAACTACTGCCCCTGCTACAGGTCCTCCTCCTTCTCCAAGTAAAGATCATACTTAAACCCCTGCTCCTTCTCCAGGTAATCATCATACTCCAACTACTGCCCCTGCAACAGATGCTAGTCCTTCTCCTGGTAGAAATCTTACTTGAACCCCTGTTCTTGCTACAGATCTTCCTCCTTCTCCAGATCATGATCATACTTCAACCCCTGTTCTTGTTACAGATCCTCCTCCTTCTCCAAGTTAAGATCATACTTAAACCCCTGCTCCTTCACCAGGTAATGATCATACTCCAACAGCTTCCCCAGCTACAGACCCTGCTCTTTCTCCAGGTAATGATCATACTTCAACCCAAGGTCCTGATACAGATCCTCCTTCTCCAGATCATGATCATATTCCAACCACTGCCCCTGCTACAGATCCTGCTCCTTCTCCAGGTAATGATCATACTTCAACCCCTGCTCCTGCTACAGATCCTGCTCCTTCTCCAGATCATAATCATCCCCTAACCCCTGCTCCTACTATAGATCCTGCTCCTTCTCAAGGTAATGATCATACTCCAACTACTCCCCCTGCTGAAGATCTTGCTCCTTCTCCAGGTTATGATCATACTTCAGCCCCTGCTCGTGCAACAGATCCTCCTCCTTCTCCAGATCATAATCACTTCCTAATCCCTGCTCCTGCTATAGATCCTGCTCCTTCTCCAGGTTATGATCATACTCCAACCCCTCCTCCTGCGACAGACTCTGCTCCTTCTCCGGCTAATGATTTTACTAAAACCCCTGCTCCTGTTACAGATCCTGCTCCTTTTCCAGATCATGATCATACTTCCACCCCTGCTCCTGCTAGAGATCCTCCTCCTTCTCCGGATAATGATCATACTCCAACAACTTTCTTACTTCAACTCCTGTTTTTCCTACATATCTTCCTCCTTCTCCAGATCATGGTCATACTTCAACTCAAGCCCTGGTACATATCCTGTTCCTTCTCCAGATAATTTTCTTACTTCAACCCCTGTTTTTCCTACAGAACTTCCTCCTTCTCCAGATGATGGTCATTCTTCAACTCCAGCCCCTGCTATAGATCCTCCTCATTCTACAGATGATGATCATAGTTCAACCCCTGCTCCTGCCACAGATGCTGCGCCTTCTCCAGGTACTGATCTTACTTCAACCCCTGTTTTTCCTACATATCTTCCTCCTTCTCCAGATCATGGTCATACTTCAACTCAAGCCCTGCTACAGATCCTGCTCCTTCTCCAGATACTTATCTTACGTCAACCCCTGTTTCTCCTACATATCTTCCTCCTTCTCCAGATCATGGTTATACTTCAACTCAAGCCATGCTACAGATCCTGCTCCTTCTCCAGATATTTTTTTTTACTTCAACCCCTGTTTTTCCTACAGAACTTCCTCCTTCTCCAGATGATGGTCATTCTTCAACTCCAGCCCCTGCTATAGATCCTCTTCCTTCTACAGATGATGACCATACTTCAACCCCTGCTCCTGCCACAGATGCTGCGCCTCCCCCAGGTAATGATCTTACTTTAACCCCTGTTTTTCCTACATATCTTCCTCCTTCTCCAGATCATGGTCATACTTCAACTCAAGCCCTGCTACAGATCTTCCTCCTTCTCCAGATAATTATCTTACTTCAACCCCTGTTTTTCCTACAGAACTTCCTCCTTCTACAGATGCTGATCACACTTCATCCCCTGCCCCTGCTTTAGACCCTGCTCCTGCTGCAGATCATGCGCCTTCTCCAGGAAAGGATCTTACTTCAAAGGATGTTCCTGCTACAGATCTTACTCCCTTTCCAGATCATGATCATACTCCCAAACCTGTTCCTGCTACAGATCTTCCTCCTTCTCCAGGTAACGATCATACTTCAACCCCTGCTCCTGCTACAGATACTGTTTCTTCTCCAGGTAATGATCATATTTCAACCCCTGCTCCTGCTACAGATCCTGCTCCATCTCCAGATCATAATCATACTTCAACTCCTGTTCCTCCTACAGATCCTGCTCCTTCTCCACATCATCATCATACTTCAACCCCTCCTCCTGCTACAGATCCTGCTCCTTCACCAGACGATGATCATACTTCAACTCTTGCTCCTGATACAGATCCTGCTCCTTCTCCAGGTAATGATCTTACTTCAACCCCTGTTTCTCCTACATATCTTCCTCCTTCTCCAGATCATGGTTATACTTCAACTCAAGCCATGCTACAGATCCTGCTCCTTCTCCAGATAATTTTCTTACTTCAACCCCTGTTTTTCCTACAGAACTTCCTCCTTCTCCAGATGATGGTCATCCTTCAACTCCAGCCCGCGCTATAGATCCTCCTCCTTCAACAGATGATGATCATACTTCAACCCCTGCTCCTGCCACAGATGCTGCGCTTTCTCCAGGTACTGATCCTACTTCAACCCCTGTTTTTCCTACATATCTTCCTCCTTCTCCAGATCATGGTCATTCTTCAACCCTACTCCTGCTACAGATGCCGTTCCTTCTCCAGGTAATTATCATACTTCAACCCATGGTCCTTCTCCAAACAATGATCATACATCAACCCCTGCTCCTGCTACAGATCCTGCTCCTTCTCCAGATCATAATTATACTTCAACCCCTGTTCCTGCTACAGATCCTCCATTTCTCCAGATCATGATCATACTTCAACCCCTGCTCATGCTACAGATCCTGCTCCTTCACCAGACGATGATCATACTTCAACTCATGCTACTGCTACAGATCCTGGTTCTTCTCCAGATAATTTTCTTACTTCAACCCCTGTTTTTCCTACAGAACTTCCTCCTTCTCCAGATGATGGTCATCCTTCAACTCCAGCCCCTGCTATAGATCCTCCTCCTTCTACAGATGATGATCATACTTCAACCCCTGTTCCTGCCACGGATGCTGCGCCTTCTCCAGGTACTTATCTTACTTCAACCCCTGTTTTTCCTACATATCTTCCTCCTTCTCCAGATCATGGTCATACTTCAACCCTCCTCCTCCTACAGATGCCGTACCTTCTCCAGGTAATTATCATACTTCAACCCATGGTCCTTCTCCAAATCATGATCATACATCAACCCCTGCTCCTGCTACAGACCCTGCTCCTTCTACAGATCATAATTATACTTCAAACCCTACTCCTGCTACAGATCCTCCTCTTTCTCCAGATCATGTTCATACTCCAACTCCTGGCCCTGCAACAGATCCCGCCTCTTCTCCTGATCATGATCATATTGAAAAACCCTGTTCCTGCTAAATATCTTCCTCCTTCTCAAGATCAGTATCATACTTCAACTCCTGCCACTGCTACATATCCTGCTCCTTCTCCAGGTAATGATCCTATTTCAACCCCTGTTCCTGCTACAGATCCTCCTCTTCTCCAGCTCCTTTTCCACATCATGATCAGACTTCAACCCCTGCTCCTGCTACAGATCCTGCTCCTTCACCAGACGATGATCATATTTCAACTCCTGCTCCTGCTACAGATCCTGCTCCTTCTCCAGATAATTTTCTTACTTCAACCCCTGTTTTTCCTACATATCTTCCTCCTTCTCCAGATCATGGTCATCCTTCAACTCCAGCCCCTGCTATAGATCCTCCTCCTTCTACAGATGATGATCATACTTCAACCCCTGCTCCTGCCAAAGATGCTGCGCTTTCTACAGGTACTGATCTTACTTCAACCCCTGTTTTTCCTACATATCTTCCTCCTTCTCCAGATCTTGGTCATAATTTAACTCCTGCCCTGCTACAGATCCTGCTCCTTCTCCAGATAATTATCTTACTTCAACCTCTGTTTTTCCTACAGAACTTCCTCCTTCTACAGATGATCATCACACTTCAACCCCTGCTCCTCCTACAGATCCTGCTCCTTCACCAGACGATGATCATACTTCAACTGCTGCCCCTGCTATAGATCCTGCTCCTGCTGCAGATCATGCGCCTTCTCCAGGTAACGATCATACTTTAACCCCTGCTCCTGCTACAGATACTGTTTCTTCTCCAGATCATGATCATACTTCAACTCCTGTTACTCCTACAGATCCTGCTCCTTCTCCACATCATTATCATACTTCAACCCCTCCTCCTGCTACAGATCCTGCTCCTTCACCAGACGATGATCATACTTCAACTCCTGCTCCTGCTGCAGATCCTGCTCCTTCTCCAGGTAATGATCTTACTTCAACCCCTGTTCCTGCTACAGATCCTCCCCCTCTTCAGATTATCATCATATCCTAACTCCTGCACCTGCTACAGATCCTGCTCCTTCTCCAGATCATAATCATACTTCAACCTCTGCTCCTGCTTCAGATCCTGCTCCTTCACCAGATCATGGTCATACTTCAAGTTAAACCCTGCTACAGATCCTGCTCCTTCTCCAGATAATTTTCTTACTTCAACCCCTGTTTTTCCTAAAGAACTTCCTTCTTCGCCAGATGATGGTCATCCTTCAACTCCAGCCCCTGCTATAGATCCTCCTCCTTCTACAGATGATGATCATACTTCAACCCCTGCTCCTGCCACAGATGCTGCGCTTTCTCCAGGTACTGATCTTACTTCAACCCCTGTTCTTCCTACATATCTTCCTCCTTCTCCAGATCATGGTCATACTTCAACGCTACTCCTGCTACATATGCCGTTCCTTCTCCAGATAATTATCATACTTCAACCGATGGTCCTTCTCCAGATCATAATTATACTTCAAACCCTACTCCTGCTACAGATCCTCCTCCTTCTCCAGATCATGTTTATACACCAACTCCTGGCACTGCAACAGATCCCGCCTCTTATCCAGATCATGATCATATTGAAAAACCCTGTTCCTGCTAAATATCTTCCTCCTTCTCAAGATCAGTATCATACTTCAACTCCTGCCACTGCTACAGATACTGCTTCTTCTCCAGTTAATGATCCTATTTCAACCCCTGTTCCTGCTACAGATCCTCCTCTTCTCCAGCTCCTTCTCCAGATCATGATCATACTTCAACCCCTGCTCCTGTTACATATCTTCCTCCTTCTCCACATCATAATCAGACTTCAACCCCTGCTCCTGCTACAGATCCTGCTCCTTCACCAGACGATGATCATATTTCAACTCCTGCTCCTGCTACAGATCCTGCTCCTTCTCCAGATAATTTTCTTACTTCAACCCCTGTTTTTCCTACATATCTTCCTCCTTCTCCAGATCATGGTCATCCTTCAACTCCAGCCCCTGCTATAGATCCTCCTCCTTCTACAGATGATGATCATACTTCAACCCCTGCTCCTGCCAAAGATGCTGCGCTTTCTACAGGTACTGATCTTACTTCAACCCCTGTTTTTCCTACATATCTTCCTCCTTCTCCAGATCTTGGTCATAATTTAACTCCTGCCCTGCTACAGATCCTGCTCCTTCTCCAGATAATTATCTTACTTCAACCTCTGTTTTTCCTACAGAACTTCCTCCTTCTACAGATGATCATCACACTTCAACCCCTGCTCCTCCTACAGATCCTGCTCCTTCACCAGACGATGATCATACTTCAACTGCTGCCCCTGCTATAGATCCTGCTCCTGCTGCAGATCATGCGCCTTCTCCAGGTAACGATCATACTTTAACCCCTGCTCCTGCTACAGATACTGTTTCTTCTCCAGATCATGATCATACTTCAACTCCTGTTACTCCTACAGATCCTGCTCCTTCTCCACATCATTATCATACTTCAACCCCTCCTCCTGCTACAGATCCTGCTCCTTCACCAGACGATGATCATACTTCAACTCCTGCTCCTGCTGCAGATCCTGCTCCTTCTCCAGGTAATGATCTTACTTCAACCCCTGTTCCTGCTACAGATCCTCCCCCTCTTCAGATTATCATCATATCCTAACTCCTGCACCTGCTACAGATCCTGCTCCTTCTCCAGATCATAATCATACTTCAACCTCTGCTCCTGCTTCAGATCCTGCTCCTTCACCAGATCATGGTCATACTTCAAGTTAAACCCTGCTACAGATCCTGCTCCTTCTCCAGATAATTTTCTTACTTCAACCCCTGTTTTTCCTAAAGAACTTCCTTCTTCGCCAGATGATGGTCATCCTTCAACTCCAGCCCCTGCTATAGATCCTCCTCCTTCTACAGATGATGATCATACTTCAACCCCTGCTCCTGCCACAGATGCTGCGCTTTCTCCAGGTACTGATCTTACTTCAACCCCTGTTCTTCCTACATATCTTCCTCCTTCTCCAGATCATGGTCATACTTCAACGCTACTCCTGCTACATATGCCGTTCCTTCTCCAGATAATTATCATACTTCAACCGATGGTCCTTCTCCAGATCATAATTATACTTCAAACCCTACTCCTGCTACAGATCCTCCTCCTTCTCCAGATCATGTTTATACACCAACTCCTGGCACTGCAACAGATCCCGCCTCTTATCCAGATCATGATCATATTGAAAAACCCTGTTCCTGCTAAATATCTTCCTCCTTCTCAAGATCAGTATCATACTTCAACTCCTGCCACTGCTACAGATCCTGCTCATTCTCCAGGTAATGATCATATTTCAACCCCTGTTCCTGCTACAGATCCTCCTCCTTCTCCAGATCATAATCATACTCCAACCCCTACTCCTGCTACAGATACTGCTTCTTCTCCAGTTAATGATCCTATTTCAACCCCTGTTCCTGCTACAGATCCTCCTCTTCTCCAGCTCCTTCTCCAGATCATGATCATACTTCAACCCCTGCTCCTGTTACATATCTTCCTCCTTCTCCACATCATAATCATACTTCAACCCCTCCTCCTGCTACAGAACCTGCTCCTTCACCAGACGATGATCATACTTCAACTCCTGCTCCTGCTACAGATCCTGCTCCTTCTCCAGGTAATGATCTTACTTCAACCCCTGTTTTTCCTACAGAACTTCCTCCTTCTCCAGATGATGGTCATCCTTCAACTCCAGCCCCTGCTATAGATCCTCCTCCTTCTACAGATGATGATCATACTTCAACCCCTGCTCCTGCCACAGATGCTGCGCTTTCTCCAGGTACTGATCTTACTTCAACCCCTGTTTTTCCTACATATCTTCCTCCTTCTCCAGATCATGGTCATACTTCAACTCCTGCCCTGCTACAGATCCTGCTCCTTCTCGAGATAATTATCTTGCTTCAAACCCTGTTTTTCCTACAGAACTTCCTCCTTCTACAGATCATAATCACACTTCAACCCCTGCTCCTGCTACAGATCCTGCTCCTTCACCAGACGATGATCATACTTCAACTGCTGCCCCTGCTATAGATCCTGTTCCTGCTGCAGATCATGCGCCTTCTCCAGGTAACGATCATACCTCAACCCCTGCTCCTGCTACAGATACTGTTTCTTCTCCAAGTAATGATCATATTTCAACCCCTGCTCCTGCTACAGATCCTGCTCCATCTCCAGATCATGATCATACTTCAACTCCTGTTCCTCCTACAGATCCTGCCTCTTCTCCACATCATAATCATACTTCAACCCCTCCTCCTGCTACAGAACCTGCTCCTTCTCCAGGTAATGATCTTACTTCAACCCCTGTTTTTCCTACAGAACTTCCTTCTTCTCCAGATGATGGTCATCCTTCAACTCCAGCCCCTGCTATAGATCCTCCTCCTTCTACAGATGATGATCATACTTCAACCCCTGCTCCTGCCACAGATGCTGCGCTTTCTCCAGGTACTGATCTTACTTCAACCCCTGTTCTTCCTACATATCTTCCTCCTTCTCCAGATCATAATTATACTTCAAACCCTACTCCTGCTACAGATCCTCCTCCTTCTCCAGATCATGTTCACACTCCAACTCCTGGCCCTGCAACATATCCCGCCTCTTATCCAGATCATGATCATATTGAAAAAAAACCTGTTCCTGCTTAATATCTTCCTCCTTCTCAAGATCAGTATCATACTTCAACTCCTGCAACTGCTACAGATCCTGCTCCTTCTCCAGGTAATAATCATATTTCAACCCCTGTTCCTGCTACAGATCCTCCTCCTTCTCCAGATCATAATCATACTCCAACCCCTATTCCTGCTACAGATACTGCTTCTCCTCCAGGTAATGATCCTATTTCAACCCCTGTTCCTGCTACAGATCCTCCTCTTCTCCAGCTCCTTATCCAGGCCCCGATTTCTCGAAACAAACTTCAGTTAAAAAACACACTTAAGTCTGAGTTTTTACTCAAATTTGAGAAAACTCAGCAAAATGCATTTCTCAAACCAAACTCAGTTCAATTTTCGACTCAAACTGAGTTTACAACTTGAGTTAGGTAGGAAGGTAACTTAAGTTTTTTTGTCGGTCATAAAATGGCGGTGTTGAATAGACGTAGGCGTCGTAGGCAGAAACAAATATCAACATTGTCGAGGGGATTAGTCGACAGACAAAATCCTCTTGAGTTCATGGAACCCGAGGAGTTATTCAGGAGGTTCCGTTTCCGTGCGGAGAGCATTTTATTTATTGTCTCCCTTGTTTGTGAGAAACTTGAACGGTGCTCCAACCGAAGCAGCCCATTACCTGTTTTAACGCAGGTACTTGTCGCCCTGCGTTTCCTGGCCACTGGATCTTTTTATTCTTTGATCGCGGATTCATATTCGATTATTTCAACTTCTTCGGTGTTTCGGTCAGTCAGAGATGTATGCACTTGTCTGATCGAACATCTCCGGCATTTTGTATGTATGCCAACTGGACAAGATGCAGACAAGATCAAGAAAATGTTCTTCAAAATTGCAGGTGAGTGTGTTTGAAAGCGATTCCTCTTCAACTCGCCTCTGCAGTGGTGTTATTGATTACTAGGTCAAATAAGGGGGAGCTACTCTAATTCTTGTCATTTCTATATAAAAAACCTTTCCCTTTCTAAAACGAACAGCTATCATCACGACATAAATCTGGAAATTCTGACGAAAACTTCCAATAAAAATTACGTTTATCATATTTTAACATATACACTTTAAATTTCCAATACCTTTTGTAAAATGCATAAAAATAAACGCCTTCAATCGTTTAAAAAATCAAATTGTAATGAAATATTTTATAAAATATAATCAAAGATAATTACCGTAACAGCCAACTCAAAAATTCTTGACATAATGTTATTTAAAATCGGCAATATATTCCTGATAATAACAATAATTTATCAATAATGAATCTTTAAAATGATACATATAATTTAATTTTTCAGGTTTCCCCAATGTTCTGGGCTGCTTAGATGGAACCTTCATCCGCATTATAGCACCCTCAAGGAATGAAGTCGATTATTTGAATCGTAAAGGATTTCACTCACTCAATGTTCAGGTAATAATATTATGTTTATGACACTTAATAATTGTTATTGCCAGTAGCTAAAATCACTTATGTTCACATACGTTTTATGTTTCATGAAATGTATGAAATGAATGTATAGAATCTATATTTTAAAATTCACAAATCACTGCCTACACAGTGGCAGCCAAAATATGAATCATACCATTTCAATTATTCTTTTGTTCTAATTTCAATCAATCTGTTTACTGACCAGTGACATGCACAGTTTTGTGCTTATAAATGTATTGAACTGACCTATTAATTCTATCACTTATCAGATGATATGCGATGCCAACTACAAGTTCATCAATTGTGTTGTAAAGTGGCCAGGGAGTGTCCATGACAGCCGCATCTTCCGGGACAGTAAAATCAGCGTTGCTTTTGAAAATGGTGTGAGTTCATAATTCATCTTTAATCTGACATGGTTTGAACTGTAAATTATACCAAATGACAAAACTTTTAAGGACAAAGTTCATTTACAGAACCAATAATATTTATTGCTGAGGGGAAGGGGTAAACAGCCTTTTGAAATGATTATTTTTTTTAAATGTATTATGATGGTTCCAAGACAATTGGTTATTGCATCACTGTTAAATCAGTAAAAAAATCATTTTCTGCATGTCATGATCAAATGTCACCAGAAAGAATCACAAACATTCTGATCTGCTTCATTTTATAGGAACATACAAGGGCTTTCTTATTGGAGACTCGGGATATCCATGCAAGTCTTACTGAATGACACCTTTCCTCACAACCTCATGCCGGGCTGAAGAAAGATATAACAGAAGTCACTGCAGAACTAGAGTTTTAGTCGAACAGTGTTTTGGAATTTTAAAACGAAGATTTTCTTGCTTACACAGTGGATTAAGAACAACACCTCAAAATGCTTGTAAAAATATAACTG